TTGTAGGAGAATCTAAGAAAAGCCCCAAAACCCCAAAACCCCAAAACCCCATACATTAAAATTTGGCAGCAGTAAAATCAAGAAATTCTACAATTAATGATTATAAGAGAACTAATTACACTAAAACATTTCGAAAAAAAAAATATTAAAACTGATCTAGATCATTATATTCTGATCAGTACGGATGGCCATATCAAGGCAGTTTCCTTGGTATAAATAACGGAATTGATCAATTAAAATAATAGTAATAAAATTAAAAATTTGCAACACACATAAAGAAATTCAATGTTTTACAAAAATAAGACCTTACTTTCAAGATAGAACAGCTTTGAAGACTTGCTCCATTAAAATCTTACTCTTTAAGATGACAATGTGGATATGGCAGAGCTATTCCTTAAAAATCTAAATTCAACTCCTCAAAAAGTGTCAAGCGAATAATCAGTTGACTCTATATTAGAGAATAAACAATCATATGAGTTTGAAGCCTTACCTAGCAATAGATTTCTTTATTCGCAAAGAGAAATAGATTCAACAGTGAGTGATACAATTACTATGAATTCAGGATTATCGAATAATGAAATGGTTAACCCTGAAGTATTAGTAACTACTTTTGAATACACATCTTTATAAAGTTCTTTGGATAGTGCTACTTCTGATGATCTCATTCTTTCAACAGAGAAAAAGAGGTATGTCAGAGATAAAGAGAATGAAGTTTTCTTAAAGAACTAAATGAAAGCCATCCGCCTTGAATGTAACTATAAGCAGTTCTTCAGATGGATGAGAAACCTTGTGTAGAAGAACACTAAATTCCGTAATGGCCTCTAGAATGATGAAATACTATCGAATTATTTCGAGAGAATTGTAGATCTCTTTCCAAAAAAGCAAAAAACAATCTACAAGAATAGTCAAGAATCAAAGAAAAATGTGAAATATGAGCCTAGAAATATATCAACTCGAAGAGGTGAAAAACCCAACAAGACCAAATCTATAGAAAAACTTAATTAGGAGAGACTTTAGTAACTAAGCATGATTGACATCCTTTGCAACCGTATTACAAGAGAAGCAATAGTCAGCTATTTTAGTTACGATATTCTCGCTTATTTATTTGAGTTCATGCTGCAATATATCGATATAAACCAAAGATTCTATACTAAAGAAACAGCTCTTGCCAGAATGGTACTGGAGGAAATTAAATACGAAAGATGCGGCTCTCAATAAGACATAATAAACAGGGAATACCTAAGATCATAAAGCTACTGAAAAGAATTCCTGATCCATTTTTAAATATTTATAATCATCATTGTAGTAGTAATAAATAATTAATTTGTAATTAAACATATTTTATTCACATGGCTTTTCATTTAAAATAAATCAATTACTAAACTAAGATGAATAAATTCTCTTACATTTTCTCTTGGGGTTTTGGGGTTTTGGGGTTTTGGGG